GAAGCTGTGAAGGAAGTTGAATCAAGTACAGAATTAACAAGCAAAGAATCAAGACCTTGCAAAGAATCAGGACCTCAGCCAACAAAGGAAACAACTAGTAAAAGAAAAAGGGAAAGTATCTCAGGCAATTAAAAACCAAAGCACAGTACAAGGAAGAATTGGTGCAACGGTCATTTCCATGATCTTAGTCAAAATTCTAGGATCTAAATATATCCCTATAATTATGCTTCTATAGCTATATATATACACAAGTCTTGTACAAATTAATAAAATCAATACAGTTTCAGTATTCGCATTTGGTTTTGCATTTCTTCATGGTATCAGAGCTAAATAATATCTGCATCTGAATACTATAGTTTGTTTCCTTCTGCTACATTTGAAACTTTCTTCCATCTTTCATACTTCCTCATATTCTAGTTCGAAACAGTTTCGTCAAATCAAACAATGTCAAAGAACACGACTAAGCTTACCATTCAAAGCTTCCATCATATGGAAAGCTTAATCTCAGTTAAGCTCTCAAACACCAATTTTTTACTTTGGAAATCTCAGGTCTTTTTCGTTAATTCGGAGTGCTCAACTCATGAATCACCTTGAAGAGGAGGCACCTGCGATGAATATCACAAGGAATGGAAAAGAAGAAATAAATCCAGATTATGAGGTCTGGTTAAACAATGATGGATTGCTCACCAGCTGGTTACTTGGAACCATGAATGAAGAAGCATTGAGTTTAGTTGTTGGCTGTGATACAACTAGCCAAATCTGGAGGTGTCTTGAAGATCATTACCTTGCCTCTACTAAGGAACAAGAAATTCACCTTAAGGGGCAATTAACAATCAAGCAAGGAGATGGTGAATCTCTTGAAATTTTCATAAGGAAGTTCAAAGGAACCTACGATGGCTTGGCTGCAATCCGCAAGCTCGTTGATGACTTGGACAAGGTGTTTTAGCTATCCAGGGATGTAGGAACACGCTATCAACCTTACAATCTAGCAATGTTGTCAAAAGGGCCATATCCTACTTTCAACCAATATATTACAGGGCTGCAAAATAATGAAAGGGAGCTGCAGGCAGCAGAGCAGGAAAATAAGGATAAAACTTCAGCATATTCTCAAGTGTTTGTTGCACAAAGGGGGAGAAGTCTACATAGTAGAGGATATGGTGGCAGAAACTTTAGCTCCAAAGGTAGAGGGTTTGTTCAAGCTAGCAACTACAATCATAATTGGTCCAGCAACAACAAAAACAGTATAGCCAACAACAACCCGACTCCACAACAAACCATGTCTTAGAAATACCAACATAAAAGCTTACCTTAGAAAGATGAAAGCGTGTGCCAAATATGCAAAATTGCTGGACATAATGCTTTAAAGTGCTGGTATGGATTTGACCATGCCTACCAAAGTGAAGAAATTCCTCAAGCATTGGCTGCACTTACCATAATGGATGACAAAGACAAAAGTACCTATATTGATATTGGTGCCACTAATCATATGACCTTTGATCTAGGTAATCTCTATACTAAAAGACAATATAATGGAAACCAAAAAGTTTTTACAGGTGATGGAACTCCACTTCATATTTCTCATATTGGTTCAGCATCTATTGGTTCCTTAAATCTTAATGATGTACTTGTT